GGCCAGGCAGTCGGAGTACCCGAAGCCATCAGCCTGCAGGAACCTCTTCGGGCCGGTGAATCAAGAAGAGTTAAACAGGGACTTGCAGAAGCACCGGCAGGAGATGGAGGAGGCATGCCAGAGGAAGTGGAATTTCGATTTCCAGAATCACAAGCCGCTGGAAGGCAGGTACGAGTGGCAAGCCGTGGAGAAGGGCAGCTCGCCCGACTTCTACTTCAGGCCCCCCCGGCTACTGAAAGTCGTCTGCAAGTCCGCCTGCTGCCAGAGCTTGGATGGAAACGGGATCACATGGAGGCCAGGCAGTCGGAGTACCCGAAGCCATCAGCCTGCAGGAACCTCTTCGGGCCGGTGAATCAAGAAGAGTTAAACAGGGACTTGCAGAAGCACCGGCAGGAGATGGAGGAGGCATGCCAGAGGAAGTGGAATTTCGATTTCCAGAATCACAAGCCGCTGGAAGGCAGGTACGAGTGGCAAGCCGTGGAGAAGGGCAGCTCGCCCGACTTCTACTTCAGGCCCCCCCGGCTACTGAAAGTCGTCTGCAAGTCCGCCTGCTGCCAGAGCTTGGATGTAAACGGGAATTGCCAAACCGTGGTTTTTGTCGGTTCTCAGGGAATCTCAGAGGACACTGACTGTGTAGCTCAAAAGACTGATGCTACAGAAAATCAGACGGACTTAGCAGAGCAGTGCACTGGGCAGAGGAAAAGACCTGCGGCCGATGATTCCTCTCCTCAAAATAAAAGAGCCAACACAACAGAAGAAGGGGTTTCAGAAGACTCCCCCAATGCCAGTTCAGTGGAGCAAACACCCAAGAAATCAACCCCGAGAAGACATCAAACCTAAAGCGTTTAGAGCGGCGGATGTTCGCGTCCTCGTTCGTCGGGTGCGGCGGGGGGCGATGAAGCGAGGAAGATGTAAAGTTGTAGTGGAAAAGAAAATACGTATCGCCCATCTTCGTGGGATGGAGGTCCTGTACAAGCACTGAAGAAAAAACAACAACCAACCAACAACAACCAACAGCAG